GGTATATAATATAATGACATTCATCATTGGAAATTTGTACCTTTACGTAATCTATCTTGGTTCTTATTTTTTTCCCCATTCCCCTGCCCTCCCTTAAAATGTGTTCATCAAAGACTAGAAAGTAAAGAGCAAATGATCTGAGCAGTCAAGTATAATTGGAGCAAAAAAAAAAGCAAAAACAAAAAAGAAGCAAGAAGGAAGCAAATAACTGAAATCAGAAAGTAATAAACTCAAGGAGACAGAATGGATGTGAGAGAATGCACAGTGGACATATTGCTATTATTTGCAAGCAAGTACTATAATCATAGCAAACAGAAAACCAATAGGTAAAACAGACAGATGTTATTCTGGCTGTCCTTTTAATTTGGAATGATTTCTGGAAATGAAGAATGCTTTCTGGAAAACCCAGTGTTTTAGAAACCCAGTGTTGTAAAACCGGTCTTGCATGAATCCAGTGATGTACTCATAAACCAGAACAAAGGCACTTCTCAAGGTTTAAAATCCACTTGTGGCATAAAAGAATATTCTAGGGGGTAAGGACTGAAAAAAGTCCTGACCAACTTTCTTTTTAAAACTAATCTAGCCTCATATGTGTGTGTGTGTGTGTGTGTGTGTGTGTGTGTGTATGTACAATGTATGTGTATATGTGTACAATGGTACCTCAATTTACAAACTTAATTCGTTCCATGATTCTGGAAAAGATGCCCATGTTCACATTCCTGCGGGAAAGATAGCTGTGGTTCTGTTAGTCACCCTGTACAGAGTTCACAAATAAAAACAAAATTTTGTCAAACGGCTCTGTTTGGGAACAAAACTGTTTACAAACAAAAGCATTCATGAATCGAGTGGTAACTGTGTATGTGTTTGTGTATATTTGCACTCAAGTATACCATTGGCCAGCATTTTCTTTACTTAATGATAATAGTAGAAAGGTAATGTGTGAAGGGAAAATTTAGTAAGTGCAGACTGTGCTATTCAAACAATACAGTAGTTAATACATTTTGTTTCATTTTGAGTTTGTTGATTTTGCCACTTTCACACAATGCTAGTCCCTGTGGCTGTTGGAAATGCTTGAGTTTCTCAATTTTGGTTGCCTGGTAGGATCCTAATGTCCAATTCTTGTACCAGACTAGCTAAACCAGAATTCTAATGCTACATGCCAGTATTTGTGTTTTTGAAAACATGTTCTGTCATCTCAAGTGCAAAGTTAAAAAGCACTGTACTCTAGCAAAGTTCTAAGAAAATCACAAGTTCTGTGTAAATCTTAGCACAGTCTATCCTAGCTCTTCATTTTTTCTGTATCTTATATTAATATATATTATCAGGAAGTTAGAAAGAACAGTAATAGATTGAAAATGTGGAGATGCCAGTTTCAAAAACCTGCCATGGACTGACTCTGGCAGGAGAGAGATTTATAAAGACAACAAAATTCAAACTTGGCACAGTGAACCAGTCCCACACATGCAGGTAATGTAGACATATCTGAATAGTAGTACAAATGAAAACCTCTTGAAAATTTTAGTTCACTTCTAAAGAAGTTTTCTTACTACAGTATTGGCTCAAAGCCGGAGTGAACATCCCAGAAAATAGGACCACCACCTGCCACCTGGAGAATCCAATCACAGAATGAGGAAAGGAGTTTATTCGTTGTGGTCACAATGGAAATAAACAGGACTAGAGTCATAATACCTGTCTTCAGGGTACCAAGAATAGTTGTAGGATTAGGTACAGAACAACTATGGCAGGGAGCAAGAGGAATGCGTAGCCAAGTAGTTTTACTCAAAGTGTTGTCTGGCTGATCATTGGTCTGGTTCTGCAGAATCTGTCACCACCTAACACAGGTCCTCCAATGATAACTGAAATTAAATCTGAAGCAATCAGCATGAACTTTCTGAAACTTTAAGGGGAAATTTAGGGAAAATGAAATAGGCACAGTGTGAAAAGTATTAAGCTGGTCTCTTAACAGAGGAAAGTAAGAGAAAATAGGAAAGAGCGTTCAGTTGGAGGAACTTAAAGAGACACAGATCTGACTAAGATCAGACTGGCTTGTTACAATGAAAAGAGAGCAGCTTTATGTGGTGGGCTGAGGTCAGGTTGGTTATCTCAGTCCTGGTTTCCTACCTCTGGATGAATTTCTATCGCTGAGGGCCAATTTCATTCCTATGAGGTAATTGTTTCTGTGTGGTGGTGATATAGGACTTCCAAATGATACAGGAGAAACAATGTAACTCCCAACCTGCTGGATGTCAGATATGCCAAGTGCATGTTCCCCCAAATTGAAGAATGAATTCTAAGGAACAATGGAAATTAAGAGTAGGGAGAATTTATTGAGGGGGAAGGATATAGCTCTTGAGTCACAGGAGGGGACCTGAATGGGTTGCCCATGAGCCCATTTTTCAGAGGAAGTTTTATAGAGCAAAATCATGAGGTAGATACAAAATCATGAGATGGGCACAATGTGGGATGAAACTATGATCAACCAATAAGATTACAAGTATAGCTGCTTAGGCAATATTGACCCAAAGGGGAAGCAGGTCATGCAGCAAGTGTACATGGAAAGAACAATTTAATCTTTATTGGAAGAGTTAAGTCAGGAGGGTCACTGATGCCTTTCTACACTTTATTGAACCAAGTAATACCATCAGAATATATTGTTTATCCCTCAGGGAGGCATGCAGGCCTAGTCACTCCATCTTTATTTTGAGGCCACAGTTGTATGTGCACTGACTTCTGTCTACACTGACTCCAAGGGACCAGCCCTGGCTGACTGCCTAGAGTATGTCTACCTAACTTAGCTGTCTATAATAGTGGGGCCAGGGGATGATCTTTAATCTTGATTCTCATCATGGGATAACTTCTTACACTGGTGGTGGGGAGGAGGGGAGGGTGCTCAGGTCCTACTTGAGGTGATTCTTTCCGCTTGGGGCCGGCATCGCTTTGTCATAGGGTGATAGGCCTGCAAGGCTGGCTGTTCCTAGAATTTGAGATAAATTGGGGAGAAAAAAATGACCAAGACAAAGAGTAGGCTCAAGGAGCAAAATGGATTCACTCAAGACAATGACTGAGTCTTCCTTCTCACCCCCAATTTTAAAGGTCCCTTGTTAACAGTTTGAGCCAACACTATTTTCTGGTTACCAGAAAATAAACTTGATCCGAGGCTTTGTACATAAATGCATGCTGTCTAGACAAGGAATACCCTTTTCTGCATGCTGATTGGCTCACATGAATTACCTAACCATGTTCTGGGCAGTATACTTTATGAACATAAACTTATAGTATGGCTGATGAGGGAAACTGATCTGCCATATGGGAAATAAAAGAGGATCACAGGGAAAATGTGACAGATATACAGTATTTAAAATATCTGAGGGATACATGTGTAAACTAGATTAGATTTATTATGTAAAACTCCAGAAGTCAAGAGCAATAGATAGATGTAAGGAAATCTTCAGAAAATGTAATGCAAAGAACAAAGTGGAGAGTTTTCTTTCTTTGCAGGTACAGTATTTAAGCCTTTCAGTAAAGGAAGCCTCTAAAGATTTGAATAAGAAACTTTCATCCCCATGTAAGATTTTATGCACTTAGAAGATCAATGTATGTACAGTAGCTTGGAAGTAAAAATGAGGCTTTTCATGTTCTGCGAGCTACTACAGCTCCTCAGCTGGATCTCTGCAAGGTGCCCACCTTGTGCCACTGGAGAGACCATGCCACCAGCACCAGGAGACAGCTCCTGGGTGTTTTTCCAATGGGAAATGCTGCCACTTTTCTGTAGATGTCAAGTCCTTCCCAGAATATGCTGGCATGTATCCTCCTTTATCATCTGCTTTCTCTTGTAAACCCGACTTCTTGCTGAAATTGATGGCCCTGTCTGTACTATCCATTAGGACTCAGGCCCTTCTTTCCATCTGCCAGAAGTTTAGGATTCCAAAGAGTTCATTAGCATCTACCCCACCAGGATGAAAGTTGAGAAGTCCTGTAGTTCTTGCTTTACCAAGCAACTTCAAGTTACCCAGAGGAAGGAAGTGGGGTTTTGCTTATTCCCAGGTCCGGTGAAGGTCTCCGCCAGAGTGAAGACTTTCTCTCAAAAACTGTAGCGCTCTCGGGCAGGCAGTTTGCAGACTTCGCGCGGGACGCTGAGTGCCAGGCGCATCTCTAACAGGGCAGGAGCACTAGGGCTGCCAGGGACAAAGGGTCGGCTCCCTCCTTCCTGGCCACTGTACCTACTTTTTCTCCGCTCCAACTCTGCCAGCGCGGTCGCGTCGCCTCTAAAACAGGTCCTGATCTCCCGTCCCGAGACTGAACTTGCAAGTCTGGCGGCCCACTTTCAGGAAGGGAGGAGAAAGAGGAAGGAAAGAAGGCGGGAGGTGGGGCTGCGGGGGAGGTGGAGGGAAAGAGTGAGCTTCCGAGGGAAAGTGAAGGGGAGGGCAGCCGGGCTCGGCACCCTCCCTCCCTCGGCCGCTTTCTCTCACATAAGCGCAGGCAGAGGGCGCGTCAGTCATGCCCTGCCCCTGCCCGCCGCCGCCGCTCGCCCGGCGCGC